GGCAGAGCTTCCGGCCCAAGGCCTCGAACTCCTACCCCTCCTGTTGAGCCAACCTTCTCTGTGGCAGAGACCCGAAATCCCCGCGTGAGGCGAACCCCCCGCGCTCGTCTGGAGGTCCCTCCTCACCAGCAAAGCGGCCCTGCCCGGCAGCCCAGCAGTCATGCCCCGCGGCCCAGCCTATCGAGCCGGCCTCAACCCCGACCCAGTTGTCCAAGAGCCCGTCGCAGCAGTCTGAGCTGGCTCAACTCATCTACACGCTGAGGAGCATGTTGGCCGTCGTTAAGCGACTTGTTGACCAGTTGCCCCAACAGCATGCGTAGACTCCGTATCCTCACGTGGAATACCGACGGGCTTGCCGACAAACGCCACGAGCTGACCCAGCTTCTGACTGACATGGAAAATCCACAATTTTAGACCCTCGGTTTAAAAAATATGGATTTGGATTTGCCGAAAACGCAACGAATGCCGTCAACCAGCTTATCCAGGAAATTTCTGAAAACCAAGATGGAGAAGTCTTGGTTGCCTTTGGAACTACCATACAACCAGCTGATGAAGTCCCTGAAAAGAAAAAAAAGGAAAGCGATTTGGAGCTTCTTTGAAGAACAGAGAAGTAAAAATCTGTCAACGACTCAAAGGAACAGTCCTAACAAAGTAAAGGAGGATATGTCACTCTATCTGACAAAACCACTGCTCGACATCGATGCAAAACCTAAGCCAGACCCTCTTGAATTTTGGAAAAACCCGAAGACACGATGCCACACCTTACTGAAGCTGCTTTAAAATATGTGTGTGTTCCCGCAACATCCGTCCCGTCTGAAAGGGTGTTTTCGAAGGCCGGGCAAGTGTGCACTGAAAGAAGAAATATACTGACCGCAAAACATGTAGAACGTATGGTCTTCTTAAACGCAAATCAAAAGTTTGTTGACAAGTAAACCGTATCAAACAAAACATGTAACCTTTAAACCAATAATATTACATATTTTTTTATGTTAAACAATTCTCTCTATAATTTGTTTCATTTATTAGGAAAGCAAAGCCATTACATTTACCTAATTGTATTTGTTTGAGTTTAAGTAATTTTATTTGGACAAGCATATTTTATTTGTATAAAATAAAACATTTCTATAGCTTAATATGGTATTATTTCAAACCATTAAGTATACAGATATAATTTTAAAACTTTTATGAACTTGTGCACAGCATTATGTCACTGCATAGTTTTTTTTAATACCAATAACTGATTTAACAAAAAAATATTTGGCAAAGAATATCACCAATAATTTTATTAATGCCAATGATAAAAAATAACCATTTTTAAAAGTCATTTAATGAATTATAAGAACCGAAAGTTCATATTTGTTGGAAGACGCAAACGAATGTTTGAATCAGAGGTTATTAGAGCCTAAAACATTCATTTAGTCTAATACTATGCTTTCAACTGGTTTCATTCGGTGTTTTAAGAGACTGGAAACAGTCATCAGTCCGAATAGTATGTACGCAACTGTTTTCATTCGGTGTTTCATTCAACTGAAAAAACCGACAGAACAGAAAAACAACCGATTGATCAATCGGTTGTTAAATTCAATCGGTTGTCCCATCACTAGTGGCAACTGAAATGGGGTCACTTGGCCTTGAGAATGAGCCGCTCCCCACCACCCCCCTCCACACAGCTGCCGGACTGTATTTTGAAAACCGTCAGATATTTCTGCCGCTCCCTGTACAGTAGTCGCAGCTAGTCTGGGCGCGCGGCCGCGCTATGGCGGGGGGTGTAGAGAGGAGTGTTTATTGCCCATTTCCAAAAACATCTGGCCCACACGGCTCTCTGGGGCTGTTCAGTGCCTCAGCTCTGTCTTCATGGCTTTGGCGTGGGGGACGGTTAGTACACAAGGGTCCGCGCGCCCAGACTAGCTGCGACTACTGTATATATGTCCAAGCAAAATTATTAACAATAAGTTCTATAATGTAATAATAGTTATAAAAAACAACTAACCTAATTGTAAAAAGGAATGATTTGGTTATTAACTTTAAAAAGTGTTTCCTGTAGGCCTAAAATCTAAAATTTTGGACATTGATCGTTCTTTCTCTGGATCCTTCGTAAACTCCTTACTTCTGAACTTGTTACAAATTTGTTTTTAATAACTATTAAAAATGCTTAGTTAAGGTTAGCGTTTATAAAATATAGATGAAATGTGTATTCGTCCTAACACAATCACACTCCCAACCCGGTTTACAATAAAAATTTGACTTTCTGCTGTTATAAAAGTCTTGTTTTTAATTATGTGATTAGAATCCTTGATTCCAATTAAGTTTACACCGGTACACGGGCATTCTTTAATAAAAGTCTGTAACGAAAGCCAAGGGCATAAATTAAAATTTGTCTCCGAGTGTCAAATGGCTTTGCAGGCAATCATTTTCGTTCAATATACAGGCGTACGATCGATCGATGACGCTTGATACTTATACCTAACTGTTCTGCGGACATTAGGCTACATGCCGACTATTTGGAAGTGCCGTTTCTTACGATATTTATATTAGTATATGTTGTTTACACTGTCAGCTGGCGCTGCAAATGGCGTACCTTTGTTGATGAACTGTGTTGTGAGTTGTAATAGTGATAAAAATGGCAGAAGATCTCCGATCTAGTGACATTAGGGAACTTTTATCTGGTGAAATAAGTGACAGTGAAGGTGATGATTATTTTGAAAATGACTTCGATTTAGGACAACATGAATCCGACATTAGGCTTATGGTTTTTACTTGGAAGATTACTTGATTTCTCAAGTGGTGGTGGTGATGATTTCGAAGAGTTGGAAACTTCTAACAGAGAATATGACGACGGTCCTGATAATCCTGATCCTGTAAATATTGTAAATAGTAGGCCTAGTGTAAGTCAACCTAGTTATAGTTCGCATGATACTGGTGCAAATATCAGTAGCCCTAGGCCTAAAAGGTCAAAGATAAAAAACCTGCTTTGGATCAGAGTATACCCTCCTGAACCCGAGAAGGAGATTGAAAGTAAATTTACAAGAAGGAATACTGGAGCAAAGAATCTACCTCCTAGAAATAGTAAACCTTGTAGTGGGGTCAAATGAATTTAAAGGGAAAAATTAATTAAATAATGGCAAACAAAAATAATATGATATGGCGAGGGGTGAAGAGCCACAATATAAGAAAATAGATGTAGGCTTAACTGTAAGAGATTCAGTAGGCTTAGATAATACATTTGTTTTGTCCATTCTTCAACGGATAAAAAGTAGGTTAACAGATCTTGACAGTAAAATGATAGAAGTAAAATTAAGTAATGAAAGATTAGAAAATAGGTTAGAGAGTGTTGTTCTTGATTTGAGAAAATTCATGTCTAATGTAGAAGAAAAAACTGTAATTTTACAACAGGAAATGAACACTAACAAAATAAATTTAACTGAAATGATAGGTAACGTTCAGGACAAATGAGATAAAGAAATAGAACTACAAAAGGAAAACATTCAAAAGTCAGGTAATGATTTGACTGAAGAATCAAATGTGCATAAGCGTATGGTTAATTCTAAGTTTAAAGAATTTGATGATGAACAAGATATTAAGATAAATAAAGTTGTAGAGTCAGTCAAAGATTGTGTTGGTAAAGTAGGCCAGAACGTTGTAGAAATAAATGAACTCAAGTCAAGTTTTAGTTCCAAGTTTGAAGAGGTTGAAAAGAAGTTTAGTCAGTTTAATCCCGAAATAAACTTAGGCCTAGAACGTAAGCTAAGTTGTAGCACTGATAGTAACCAAAAGTTGGCGGAAATGTTGTTAGTACCTTTTAATAGTAGGGAAAGGTTAATCCATCCTATGTACTTTTTAAAATTTACTGAAGAGTATAATGAAAAGTCGATAGACTCATGGGAAGTAAAAAAGTTAACTATCTTAAAGTATTTGCAAGGAGAGGTACAGTACTGGTATCGCAGTTACATGAGTAATTAGGGCGAATATGTGCAATTTCATGAGGCATTTAAGAACCAGTCCTTTCTGAATCTAAAAGTATGGCAACAAACGAAGAAAAGAATGATCACACAAAGAAGATGTTGATGAACTCAGTTAGAAAAATACTAAGATGCAAAGAAGAGACAATAAACATATTGAGAACACAGAAAATGATGAACCTCAAAACCAAAGAAAGAGCGTCAAGATGCACCAAGGATCCAAACCCTCTCTCCACAGCGATGTCTCTAATGGGAACTAAGTACCCCTTGTCCCTTGATAAAGACTCAGCCCGATCATTTAATATCTTAAGCAGGTACTTCCCCCCGAACCAATCTCAGAAAGAAGACTACTACAAGGATCGAAGAGTGCTAGCCAGGCTAGAAACAATAGACTGGTTCATAGAAAATGCAGAGACCCCTAGCACAAAACAAATTGCTGTAATTGACATACTGAGTAAACAAGCAAGAGAAGAGAGGGACAAATATTATATTATAAGGTGGGAGGAATCTAGGATAAAATGGGGGCCCACTGTCCTGGAGAGGAAAGTTGTAAGGACAAGAACACCCATTGCAGAGATCCCCAGGGAACTTAAAACTCCAGCTGTAATTGAAGCACTATTTCCTGACTACACCCTCCCCTCTAAGATACTGACTAGTTTCACAATATCCAAGTTGGACTTATTGAAAGAACTAAGCCTTGAGTCCAAGGTGATGTTGTGCAAGCAGGCCAGGCTGCTTCTGAATGCATTACACCCCGGTGAAAAGTGCTTGCCTATAATCCCAGGAAGCAGCAATATGCTGGCCAGCGTGAAACATGCAGTAGCCCATGTAAATTACACAATAGTCGGATACAATGTAAAGGAGATAAAAGAACCCAGAAATTGGGAGAAGATGCTTGAGAATGTAGTTGGGATATGCATAGAAAATGTTTTGTTCAGGTGATGGCGGTCTCCACCTGTCCGTTTTTGGGGAACCCCGACGGACAAATAACGATCAGGAATCTTTTTATAACCAGCTGAAACTAAGATTCAACTATGCGCATCAGATTGTTTGGGCTTTCATTGGTACGTCAGTGCTACCTGCAGCTCCGGCACCGGCAGTGTTAGCTGGAGCTCCGGCATTGGCAGTGTTAGCTGCAGCTCCGGCACCAGCAATGCTAGCTGCAGCTCCGGAATTGGCAGTGTTAGCTGGAGCTCCGGCATTGGCAGTGTTAGCTGCAGCTCCGGCATAGGCAGTGTAATCTGCATCTCCGGCACCGGCAGTGTTAGCTGGAGCTCCGGCATTGGCAGTGTTAGCTGCAGCTCCGGCACCAGCAGTGTTAGCTGCAGCTCCGGCACCGGCAGTGCTAGCTGCAGCTCCGGCATTGGCAGTGTTAGCTGCAGCTCCGGCACCAGCAGTGCTAGCTGCAGCTCCGGAATTGGCAGTGTTAGCTGGAGCTCCGGCATTGGCAGTGTTAGCTGCAGCTCCGGCATTGGCAGTGTTAGCTGCAGCTCCGGCATAGGCAGAGTAATCTGCATCTCCGGCTCCGGCAGTGTTAGCTGGAGCTCCGGCATTGGCAGTGTTAGCTGCAGCCCCGGCACCAGCAGTGTTAGCTGCAGCTCCGGCACCGGCAGTGTTAGCTGCAGCACCGGCACCAGCAGTGTTAGCTACAGCTCCGGCACCGGCAGTGTTAGCTGCAGCTCCGGCACCGGCAGTGTTAGCTGCAGCTCCGGCATTGGCAGTGTTAGCTGCAGCTCCGGCATTGGCAGTGTTAGCTGCAGCTCCGGCACCAGCAGTGCTAGCTGCAGCTCCGGCATTGGCAGTGTTAGCTGCAGCTCCGGCAACAGCAGTGCTAGCTGCAGCTCCGGCACCGGCAGTGTTAGCTGCAGCTCCGGCATTGGCAGTGTTAGCTGCAGCATTAGCGGTACTGTTAGCGGCACTGGATAATGACATAGAAGTGGTTGAGCTAGAAATTTGAATGGTAAGTCAAAGCATTCACTTTCATTGCATAAACAAAGTATAAATTTACTGACAAAAATATTCTTCAAAGAAACAAATTCCAAATTTCAAAAGAAAAAATTTAAAATGTGAGCTTTGTGCATGAGGCAATGATTTTCTAGGCTAGGCCCATGGTCTAGACATATTTTAAGCCAACGCCTTAACTTTTAAAACTAAAAAAATAATGTCTTCCAAGAACATTTTTAAGTGTGAGTTATGTGATAAGGATTTTAATAAAATTTTTAATTTAAAAAGACACTGGAACAATGTGCACGTTGACATTGCGTTTTCTGATAAGGTAGGCCTACGTTCAGTTTTACTTAGGTGTGCCTCCTGTAACTCAGTATATGCAAATTTTAATGACTTCAAAACCCATCAAAGAGAACGATCACAACATTTCATTGCAAACTGCAAAACTTGAATTTAATAATAGTGATGAATTCAATAAATGGAAAAATCAAGTAGAAGAGGAATATACAGTAATATTTGTTAAAAAGAGAGGGGCTAAGACAAATACTGATAGAAAAGTAGAGTATTTCCAATGCAATCGTTCTGGTTATTATGAAGATACCATTGTTTCCCCAAAAAGAAAAAGAGATATTAAAATAAACGGGTCTTAAAAAATAAATGCATACTGTCCTTTGAATTATGGTAGTTACCTACAGTGATGGTGTGGTGAAAATTTAATACTGCAGTACCCACAATGGACACAGAAAAGAATTAGGCCATCTTACCCTCTCCTCTTTAATCAGAAATCAAATCGCAGGGGAAATAGCTGCAAAAAATACCGTTTGACGCAATTTTGGACGATGTGCAGGAATCTGTCGAACCTAACGTCGGACTGAAAAGAAGACATTTATTAACTTAACAGGATTTAAAAGGTGTGTTGAGATAAGATTAGTTCTTGGTCAAACCCACTCTTTTTGTAAAGGTAAAAAAAATTAGTGTAAGGACATCCCATTGACCAAACTTAACGCTGGATTTGTTTGATTCTAATCAACATTTAAAAACTAATATTAGCCTAGTTTAAGATTACGTGGTGGTATTCCTCCTAAAGGTGTGGTTGACTTAACATATTCAATAAAAAAAGGGCCTAATCATCGATTACTAACTATTTTGCGAATGGTTAGGGTTCAATTATCTAGTCATCGAAACCAATCACAAAATTACTTTTTATCAGCATCTTCGAAAAGAATATTTTTGGTTAGTTTTTAACAGAAACTGAGGTATTTATGGATGCTTCCTTTACTCCCATGCATGCTAGGCTATATTATTTTAACCGTTTTTCCTTGGAGCAACGGGACAGTTGCAACAGGCAGAACCTTGTTAAAATCTCCGCCCAACTATATTGTTTTTACACCCATTGGAACTTGTCATCGTGCTTACTTAATGAACAAATAAATACCTGAACAAACTTATTTCATCTTTATTCCAAGGATGCTTTCTAAGAGTAGCCGTTGAGGTTTAGGTGCTTACCACCACTTCATACAAAATATTGAATAAAAATTACAATAAATTTCAAATATAAATGTCAGTAATTTTACAAAAAAAAGTGTAGAATAAATCTTTAACATATGTTTTGAAATCAAAACGAAGAAGAAGTTTCCCATTTAATCTTGAATCGTTTTTTAGTTAGTCAATGTGGTTATTTCATGTTAAATATTCCTTCAACACAATAACCTTCAAAGTATAAGTAAAACACTTTATTATTTTTTTCATATATTCTAAGTTAAATTCCTTTGATTTGAACCATCTCATAATATTCTAATACTTATTATACAGTTAACTAATTTACTTAAAAATACACGTATTTATTTCAACATTCTTAGATGTAACTAAAAAGTCTTAATTATTATAGGTAACGTTATCCCTGGTTTTATATAGTACATTGTAGAATTGACTGGCAAATGAGTAATCCAAATGTAATATTGATTACTGGTTAATCACGATATTGAATTGCTGTATTGAATTAACAAAAATCAGCATTAAATGGTTTATAATGCTATTCTTATGGAAAACATTTTACGTTATATCTAATTTTGTGTTAAAATTGAGGGAATTTCGCTATTTTTCCCGCCGTCCCGAGATCGAGACCTTTAATTTGAGCCCTCTCCCGTCGTTCTACAACTTCCCAGTCGCCCACAATTTTGAAGCAAAGAATCGGCTTACATATATTAAGTATATTACCTTACGGGTATATGTTACAAAAAGCTGTGTACCGGTTCTACGGACAGGATCATTTATTCAGTTGGAACCTTCTTATAATAAGAATACGAATTTATTTGTTTTATATAGTAATATTTGTTTACTTGCTTTATTGGGTTTCATTAGAATTATTTTATTTTACGAATAAATAAACTGTTAAAAATTAGGGTTGGTTAAGTGCTTACTATAAGAAAAGGCTGTTTCGTTAAAGGGTACTTACTTGAAGAATACAATAGTTTTAAAAAATTACCTCGATATACCCTTTATTTTCGTTACAATGGATATAATATACCGACCAAAATACGATGGAGTAATATTGACAGATTATATTCATATAAAGAAATTCAGTTCGTCAGCCTTTGCGTGAAACCCCTCAAAAATACGTGAGTGACTCATGGAATGGCTATCCATGCCTGGTTCATCCCTCACTCACTTGGACCGGACAGATACGGCTTAGGTATAAAAGGGATGTACAGTTTGTGATGTGCCAGTTCAGATCGAACAGTGGTCAAGATGTCAGCTAGGAAAATTAAATCTCGATTTGGTGGTTTTTGGTGGGCCGATGAGGACGGGTTTTTGTATAGGCGTAAAAAAACTTATAACAACGGATGGGATTTTATGATTTGTGTAAATAAACAGTGTCCGGGGACTTGTAAATTAAAGTGCAGTGACAACGATCCGTGCCTTGCCGAGGTTGTCAAAGGCCGCGGTCACTTTGAGTAATTTGTAATTGTAATAATTATTATTTTTATGTTGTTTTTTATAGTCACAGTTTATAACCAAACCTAGTAGGCCTACATGTATCGTTATTTTGTATAATATTTGTCTTGGTTCAATTTTTCAAGTTTCTTTCTTTAAATATCAATCATTGTACAGTTTTTTGTATAGTATTTTTCATGATTAGATTATTTTTATTTTGAAACGTTGTTTTAATGTTCGGCATTATTGCAAAAACTACTTAATTATGTATAAATGTAAATATGTGTAAAAGTTATTTATTGTTTAAAATAAAATCTGGTGTTAGTATTGACAAAGTTGTTTGTTCTTATTTTTAACCTATAATAATAATTTCACAAGAAATAATAACTGTTCGGATTTGTTAACATCAATCAGTAGTTGTTACTTGCAAAAGTAAACAGATTTGTTTGTAATTTCATATCAAAATTCACAGAATCTCATTGTAGAAAACGTAATAACATGTATGTTTGTTAGTTATTAAAATATGTTTAATTTACACATTACATGTAGTATTTACTTGTCAAGGCAGACGTAAACCGATTTGCTAGAAATTTAATGTAAAATGTCAAAAAAATCATGACTAAGAACGTAATGATATTTGTTTTTGTAGATCATCAAAAGTTGCACAAGCTACATATTTATACTGAACATATTAATTATGAGTCAGTATCTCTTGTTTCCGTGGATGTACGTACGCCCCAACAATAGGAGTCGGCCCCGGAAAACAAGACGATTAGTGATAGTTGACAGACTCTCTGCCTCACTCTGACCGTTCCAAAACTTAAAATATTTTTAGAATCAACTTAAAATTTGATTAATCTTTCGGGAAGTCGTAACAGTTTGATACGTTTGCCCTTTGCAGTATTTTTAATATGGTTTACACAAGAATCTATAGAATGACTGTTGAAGTGATTGTCTTTAATTAAAGAACTACATTTTAACGTTTTATTTTATTTTTGTATATTATGACTTAGTTAAAAATTAAAATTAAACGTTTAATTTATAATGTACGTTAATTAGATGGAAAGTAAATAAAAGAAACGTCTTGTAACATTAAAAACATATATTTACGCTTATACTGTTACAAGACGGTAAATACACAAAAAATATGGTAAATGGTTACCACTTACCATATTTTTTGTACATTTACCGTCTCTACTTGAATACTGCAAGTAGTTAAATCTCATTCACGAGGAACAGGTATAGTATTGATTGACTTTAGAGAAGGATTGGATTAATATTCCAGCTCCACTCAATGTTGCACACAGAAAACTGCGTTGTTGTATTTTTAAACCTCATTCAAGAAAGGGGTGGTGCCAATCTGTCGCGGTGCCAAGATGACGGCGGCCGCAGAGGTGCCAATCAGTCGTAACAGTACATGACAGATTGGAACCTCTAGAAAAGGGTGGTGCCAATCTATCGTGGTGCCAAGCTGACGTGGGGTGATATTTCATGGCCTCACGTCAACGAGGTTCCAATGTGACGCCGGGTGCTAAAACACTATGGTGCCAATCTGTTGTGGTGCCAATCTGACTGCGACTCCAAAAAATCAGCTTTCTTCTAATTCCCCCCCCCCTTAAAAACACAGGTTGACCGGACTAACTATACTCGCGGATCCGCGCTGCGAGCGCCCTTGCGCCCGACACCTCCTCCCGTTCTCGGACTGATTCTGTCAACTGACTGCAATTAAAATACGTAAAACCCATATCATTTTGAAGATTAAAAAATACGCCAACTTTTTATATAAAAAATGTTTTTCTATCTCGTCTCATTTCAATACAAATCAACTTAACACACTAAGATTGAAATTTAAAAGTGAAAAAATTTACATTCAAACTTAAATTACAAGAAAACTACTGAATATATCGATTACACTCTTATTGCGTTTTTTGTAGAGAATATATTAAGGATTGAAATGGCGAAACAAAATTTATCCTATTGCTGTTTGTTTCTGAGATATTAATAAAATAATAAAAGCTTACACAAATACACTTAAAAGGGTGTAGGGGGGG